ACATCCTCAAGAAACAAGGTTAGAACATCGCATTTCTGTTTTCGAAAGGTTTTTGCTGCAAATGTATTTAGGTGAAGCATTTCCTCTTTCGTGGATTTCAGACCCAGCCTTGACTTGAGGTTATCAGTAACATAAGATCTCTGACTTCCATTGTCAAATAAGATCTTAACTCTTGTTGACTTTGTACTATCTTTATTTCTTGCAATCGCTGAAGCAGTTTGTAGTAAAACTGTGCCCTTTGAGCCAGAACTTGCGGTCGTAGTCGACTGTGGGAGTTGTGAAACTTCTGTTGATTGGGTCACCAGAGTCGAATTTTGGGTTTCTTGTGAATTTTTGTTAGCAGATAAATCGTGCTGCGATTTACGCTGCGTTTTACGTCGACAGACTGATTGATTATGATTTCCATTGCAGCGATGACAGTTCTTTTCACATGACGTGCTCTTATGATCCAGACTTAGACAAACAAAGCATCGGCCATCTCTCATTAGAATCTCAAAATGAGCCCTTTGGTCGGTCACGCTTTCACAAGAGGCTGAAATATGACCACCCTTACAATATGCACATTTCACTTGAATTCCTTTAACAGAGATGTTTGCGTGCCATCTTGAGGATAGTAAAACATAAATCGAGATATAGAGGGGAGTGTGGTGGGGAAGAGGCGGCTTGTTAGAAACAAACACGATCTGTGAAACTGCACTGCGGAACACTCCCAAACTGATGCTTCCCTGTTCCACCTACGTGTTGAGAAAAAAGACGATATCCTGTTGTGAGATAATATCTTTCCCAGTGCGCATGAGTCAGGACAGTACTATATCCCAACTCATACTTACTGTAAAAGATAGGGCTAAACCCTTCGTATGAGGACAAAACCCCGGAATACGTAAGAAGCTAAAGGAACATACAAGCCTCAACAATACCAATACAGGCCTAATCCCATATCCAAACCCTTTGATCCCAACCCTATTCCAGCTACGGATGAGGCAGTGTGGAGATTGTGTTTATTGTGTGTAGTTCGGCTCTGTGAGCGCACACATATTAGTCAACATTTTCTAGGGGACTGGCGTGACTGCAGTGATCGACAAGATCAACATCGCACCGGCAAGTAGAATAATATAACTTTATTTATAGAAGAAAACATCTGACTTGTGCCTAATTCATGCTGTGACGGGCTATGACAATAACCCGGGAATAATCATCAAATCATCAAAGACCACCTGAGAAAAAACACGATAAGCAACTACGTGGGTGAGCAAATTATCAAATGATCTGAAGTAATGACGCGATAGCGTGATCACAAACGTGTTCCGCCTTGCCTGATATGAATGGAACGTGTCCACAATGGGGAATTAATTCCTGAATTCGCCAATGTTACAGCCTAAGAACCTAAACGGACAAGCAGTGTTGGAGAGAAAATGTATATGCATATAATAATAGACCCAAGATGGATCCTCTAACAGGAGGCCCTCTATTAAAGGGTATCCAGCACACGCGGGGTGAAAAAACCCTTGGCTCTGATACAGCGACCGTAACTCATTGTAAATTGTTCACATAGATGGGACATAGCCCGTCACTATCTAACGGGCTCTACCCTATATCGTATGTACGAACAGTAACAAACGGTCTATTTTCTCTTTTAATTGCCAGGATTTATAATTGGTCTCCCAAACAAAACACAGATAACAATGTGACCTAGCCGCCACACATCTTTCTCTGTAGGCTGGTATGCACTGTGAAATTGAACGTATCTCTCTGCCAGCTTTCTGTGTTGGTCGCCCACATAACAACAAAGCCTATTAGTCCGTTGCCGTCAAGGTGTAATATATGCCTTGGACACGCCAGTTTTCTGTGTTGGTCGCACAATTCATAGCAGAGCGCGCCTAATGGCCTTAGGCCAAAGGACGAATAAATGGCCAACAAGGCCTCGCACATAGCCACTCGCCAGTTTTCTGTGTTGGTCGCACAAATCATGATAAAGTTTATGAACAGTTTACAACACGGCATGATGCGATGCAACGCATAACCACTCACCAGTTTCTTGTGTTGGTCCCACAAGTCAAAACAGGCCTGATGGCATGTCCCCCCTAAGGCCTAAAGAGGGGCCACTCGCCTGTTTTCTGTGTTGGTTGCACAAAAAAAGACGATTTGCACAATAGCAAGCCAAGAGGCCAAACTCCGATAAATATTAGTTAGACATCAGTTTGAGGCGACAATTTTTGACAAATCTAACAGCCGAACGGCCACGAGTACAATCACACATGTACTTGCAAGTTATCTTTGTTGTTCTCATGAGAAAAAAGGCAACTACTCCCCGCTTCTTGAGATTCGCCAGTTGCCTGTGCTAGTCATACAATCTCGAACGAAGTAGCATCTAGGCTAAAGTAAGATGCACAGGCAGGGAACCACTGGACAGGGATTCCCTAATTGGTAACGTGGATGGCATGAAGATAAAAGAAAAATGTGCACGCTAGCACATGTGCACTACCTAAATACAAGGTGCGGTGAAGGTAACACCGAGAGCCGCG